TGAGGCATGCCTGTGTGTGTGTGTTCGTTTACTGGCTGCGAGGCGGCAGCGGAGGGAAGAAACGATCCGTCTCCCTGCCACCAGGTCTAGAGAGTTCTCCGTTCCCCCAGAGCGTGGCTTCCTCCCATCCACTCAGTCCCGACAAACTCAGTGTCAGACTAGGTCCCCTGGAGCCCAAGGTCCCCTCATCTCACCAAGGACAGAAAGTGGAGATCGTGACACTACGTCCAGGTTAGACAATGGCCCCGACACCCTGGACAGGTGCGCCCACACGCCTGAGCCCTCCGCGGCCTTTCCGCTCGGGTACCACGCCCATGCCCTCTGGCTGCAGTGCACAGAGACTCCGGTGTCAAAAAGTAGGTCCTGTTCTCATCACAAGAAGAGAAAGAGTGTGACCATGTGAAGTGATGGACAGTAGTGATTTTTACTGTGTTGATCACTTCCCAGTATGCACAAATGTTGAATCATTATGTTGTACCCTGAAACTAATGTCGTATGTCAACGATTCCTCCGTATAAAGCCACCCCACGTGCCCGTCATTTCTTGAGAAAAGCATAATTTTGTGACGTTGTATTTTGTGAGTTAATAGTGTTTGTTTGTTTGATGTAAGCATTGAAACTATATCACAACTTCTTCACTTAAAAAATGTGCCTCGCCCTGGCTGGCGTAGCTCAGTGGATTGAGCGCGGGCTGGGAACCAAAGTGTCCCAGGTTCGATTCCCAGCCAGGGTACATTCCTGGGTTGCAGGCCATAACCCCCAGCAACCGCACATTGATGTTCCTCTCACTCTCTCTCCCTCCCTCCTTTCTCTCTCTAAAAATAAATAAATAAAATCTTTAAAAAAATGTGCCTCTCCTCCTGCTGCCCCGACCTTGGGGTTGGTCTGGGCCTCCTCCTCCTCCTCCGACAGGCCCTGGGGTCGGCGCTTGGAGACCTGAGGCCGGCCTGGCAGCAAGTGCCGTTCCAGCCCCTGCCCCCCTGAACTGGTCCCCTCTTCGTGCGCAGGAACGCGGTGGAAGCTGCCAGCAGCGTGTGGCAGAACCAGTGGGGGGTGAAGGCGCAGCATCTCGGGCGCAGAAGAGGTGGGAAGGCCGTTCTTGGACAGTCCCATGGGGCCGTCTCCTGGGGACCGTGCGTCCCCCTCCGTGCCTGCTGCCCGCCAGATGGATGGAGTTCGTGGCTGGGAATACGCATCCTTGGGTTCCCCTCTCTGCCCCTGCAGGTGTTTGACGAGGGTGGGGCAGGGAGGAGGGACTCATGTCGCCTGTGGGCTGAGAGGGCTCCTTACACAGCTGCTCCTGGTCCTCCGGTGCCCGGGCACCGGCCCCGCAGGCCCTGCCCCTCCCACTCCAGGCGCCCTGGACCGCCTCCCCCAGGTGCGTATGGACTGGAAACGCGTTTTCTCCAAGTGCCAGAAAGAGTCGTGGTTGGAATTCAGGCTACTCCATAAAAATAATTGAGTTCTTTCTTAAAGGTGGGGGTGGGGAGGGAAGAGAGACAATTTTATCTGGGAGCTGTGACTGCCACCTGGTGGCTGATATTAGCTGAGCAACTAAAAAGCCTCCTCACTTAACAGTCAGCCATTCATTCATTTCTTCAGTTGTTTCTGGCAGGGTAGGGGGTAAGCCCAGTGACGGGGAGGAGAGAGACTGTGTGGTAGATGTTGTGATAGGGACAGTGCTAAGTTGGGGTCAAGGGCATGGATGCAGGAGGCCCCAGCCTGGGTTTGAATCCCTGCTCTCGGACCTCCCTGCGACTCTGACCTACAAACCTCTCCTGTGCCTTCACTTCCTGACCTGTGAGATGGGCAGATCTCACAGGGTGACCCTGAGGATTAACAAGCATGCTCCATGGAAATGCTTAGGTAAGCCACAGATGAGACAAAAATGGTAATACATACAACTAAGTTCATACACACAAGATATAAAGAACTGCACTTAATGAATGAAAACCCCACATAAAAATAGAGAAGAGATGAAAACATCAAATATGATATTCAAATGGCCAATGAACTCAACTTAAGTCATCAGGGAAATGCAAGTTACAAGCAGTAACCATCACTTGGTTCATTTTATGTCCTATTGGCTTGGCCACAGTCCCCAGGTCCTTGGTCAGATACTCAAACGTTTCTGAGAAGGCAGTTTTTTTAGATGAGATTAATATTGAAGCCAGTGGAGCCCAAGGAAAGCAGATTACCCTCCACAGGGTGGGTGGGCCTCGTCCAATCAGCTGGAAGCCTGAACAGTAAAACAATGACCTCCCTCAAACGAAGGGGAGTTCTGCCAGCAGATGGCCTTCAGACTTGAACCTCAGCATCATCTCTTTCCTGGGTCTCCAGCCCGCTGGCTCGTCCTGGAGATTTTGAACTTGCCTGCCTCCACAGTTGAGAAAGGGCAGGGCAGGGGGTAGGGAGGGAGAGAAACCCCCCTATGGGTTCCGTTTCTCTGAAGAACCCTAGCACACACACCCATCAACATGGCTGAAATGGTTGTGAAGGTGTGAACGTGTGTGAACGTGTGGGGCAACTGGAGTTCGTACACTTTGCTGGTGGGAGTGTCAGCTGGTACGACCACCCTGGTGCTTGCTCGCCAGCAGCAACTACAGCTGAAATATGAACATCCACACCGACGCTGACGCTGCGAGGTGCCTGCGAGGTCACCTATGTCCCACAAAAGGTGCACGGGGTCCATCCGGAATGTATCCAGCTATGTAGTATGAAAAATAGAGACATTCACTGAAGATACAAGAAACGTTGTATGTAAGACAATGATGCCTCAGTCCCCTCCAAAGTAGACACCTTGGGACCTCGCACAGTTCTCCCAGTCGCCATCAGCTGCCCCGTTGTATTTTCCTGAATCTCACGGACACTCTGAAATCTCTTCCCTTTCAAAGGTGATTTTAGTTTTGGGAAAAAACAGAAGTCGCAGGGCGCCAAATCTGGGCTGTAGGGGGCTGAGTCACCTGGGTGATGTGATGTTTTGCCAAAACTCTGCATGAGACATGGTGCGTGAGTGGGTGCGTTGTCGAGATGAAGCTGCCAATCACCAGCTGCCCATAGCTGCGGCCTTCTGAGTCATCCGCATAGTTTCCACCGAGGGATGCTCAAGCTTAACGCAAAATCTGATGCAGATTCGTTGCTCTACTTGCTCAGTCATTTTGAATGTGATGGCCACACAGTGCACATGCGTCTACTACCCCCACTGACCAGCACAGTGGAGTCATCCTTGGTCACGCACGTGCATCCCAGTCCACTCTCTATGGCTCTCCGGTTCCATCGAGGTTGCACCAGCTGTTCTTGTTACATGAGCAATGGCTGGACTTTTCCCAGACAAACCTCGTGTATATATAAGAATGTTCCTGGCAGCACTATTAACAGTGGCCCCGAGTTGGAAACAAAGCAATGCCCACCAACTGCAGGACGGGTGAATGAACGGAGGTCTGTCCCACGGTGCGCAGCTCATGCAGTAACATGCGTCCCGCACGCAACGCCTGAGCGGAGAGGGTCGAACACACCAGGCGGACCTGACTGACGTTGTCTGGATGGGGAGGAGCAAAGGCCGCGGCTGAGGGCCGAGGGGCTGCTGCAGGGCACCCCTCCTGCCCCGGGGGGGATATTACATGCGTGGACATTCACCCATCTGTGCGTTGCTGATCGCTCCCCTTTCCTGTGCGTATTTATAACTTGACTTTAACAGCTTATTTTCAGAATGTACGTCACTGCCTGTTCCTTCGGGGAAGTCACCCCACATGTTGGAGCCCCAGTCTCGGCTGCGAGATGACGTGCAGATTTACGAAGACGGTCTGTGGAGAAGCTGTCTGTAAAGTATGAGTGTAGAAGCATTGCCGCGTAGTTTGCAGCGTATGCACTCAATGGTTGTGAAATTAAAATCAAGGCTAAGGGAGCTTCCTCTCATTCTGTGCTGGACGCTTCATGTGCCTTCTGTTGGGTTACCCTAACAATTCGATTGTCCTGAGTTTGCATCTGAAGACACTGGAAGCTCAGAGAGGGAGAGTGGCTTCGCCCAAATAACCCAGCTGGCCAGCAGCGGGACCAGGACGGGCCTCAGGCCGGTGTCCTCTCTGGGCAGGGTGTCTCCAGGCCCAGGCCCAGCACCAACAAAGGTCCCACTGCTGCCCTCTGCAGCAAAGGTGCCGCCTCCCCGCCCCAGGGCCCCGACTTCCTCTGGGTGACACTCCACTTTGGTCAGGACCAAGATCAGCTCCTCACTCTTAAATCTCCCCCACTCCCAGCCCGGGAGCGGGCCAGGGCCCTGGGCCCCTTCGTCCACCCTCTTCTTGGTTCAGCGCATCTCCTCAGAGGGCTCTTGGGCCCCTCTGCTCTGTCCCCACCCCAGGCACGCTGGTCCCCAAACTGGCAACACCACTTTCCACGTGAGTGGCCACCATCCCCCCAGCCAAGCGACCTTCCTCTCCCCCTTCCTTCTAGCTTCCCTGCCCTGGGCCGCCCTCTCCCTGCAGAGAGGTGCCCCCCACCCCGCCCCCTCCACGTGCCCCTCTGCTCTCAGCAGCCTCCTTGTCCCCTCCCGTACAGAGTGGTCCAGTCCTCAGTACCCTCCCCACACAGTGGTCCAGTCTGTACCCCCCCCAGACAGTGAGTGGTCCAGCCCCGTCTCCTCCCTTCTCCCCCCCCCACCCCGACACACACAGTGGTGAGGTCCTCAGTCTGCCCTCCCCCCCCACCCCACTTACCCAGCCTGCTCCTCACTACTGCCCGCCCCCCCACCGCACACACACAGTGGTGAGGTCCTCAGCCTGCCCTCCCCCGCACAGTGGTCCAGCCCGCTCCTCCACCACGTACCGCCCCCCACCGCACAGTGGTCTCTCCCCTCCGTTACCCCCCCCCCACACACACAGTGGTCCAGCCCCGGTCCGCCCCGCCCCCCGACGCGGTCCGTCCCCCCCCCCAGCCCCCCCGCGCCGGGTCGCGTGGAGGCTGAGGGTCCCGGAGGCGGCGGTCGCGGGCGGCCGGACGGCTGCGATGGCGGCGGCCGGCGGGAAGCTGGGGCAGGGGCAGGACTCCACGCGCTTCGTCTACGTGACGCGCTTCGGCTCGCACCGCTGTGGCGGCGTCCTGCGGCTGGGCGGCCGCCGGGCCGCGGGCCGCTGGGGCCCGGGGCTGCCGGCCGGCGGCGGCCTGGAGGAGCCGCGCGCGACGGCGGCGGCAGCGGCGACCCGGGACGGCGAGGCCCCGTCCCCCGGCTCCGAGCCCAGGGGCCCCGCGGCCTCGGCGGCGGCGCGGGCGTCGAGTGCACGGAGCGGCGGGAAGTCGGCGGCGCGCGCAGGTGGCGCGAGGGGGCCCGGCGGGCGGGGGGCGGGCCGGCTGGGTCGCCGTTCACGCTCCTCGGCGGCTGTCCCGCGGGTGTCGGGGGGCTCAGGGCCGTGGGCTCCGTCAACCGTCCCGCCCCGCGGGCGGCGCCCCGCCGCGGCCTCGCTCTGCGTCGAGGCTTGTGGGTCACTCGGACCGCCGGCGGCAGGCTCCGCCCCCCGGGCCCAGTCCCGTCGGTGGCCTCGGCCGGGGCGCGCAGGCGCCGGGGAAAGTCCTTCGAGACCAGCCCGAGAACTGCGTCTGGGACGCGAGGCCCTGGGCCGGAGCCCCCGCGGTCCCCCAGAATGGGAAAACGCACGGCCCTTCCGTGTGTCCAGCCTACTTTTGTGCCTTTCAGGAATGTCTCGTGCTTAAAACGCTTCTTCTCCAGGGTGTTCCTAGGCACTGGGTCTTCGCCGCTATTGTAAACCGGGTTCCTCGTCCGTACTGTCCCCTAGATGTCTGTCGTGTGTGCCTACGGAGCCTCTCCATCTTTAAAAACGATCGCCTTTATGTGGGATCGATTTACATGCCTTTGGAGGAGGTTCGGCACAGCTGCACCCCCAAAAATGAACGCTCCTGATACGGAGCTTTCCGGTCTCCTTAAGAGGTCCCGCCTCTCTGGAGGGCCCACCCCGCCACCTGTGCGTTTCTTAACTCACACACGCGCACACACGCACACACGCACACACAAAACAAAACCCCCCCAGCTCTGTTGAGATGTAATTCACAGTCCGTCCACCTCAGACATTTAAAGTGCACGATGCATTGTCCTTTACAGAGTCGTGCAGCCTTCCCCGCCGTGGGTTTAGGAGCACTGTCGTTACCCCACCGCGCCAAAGAAAGCCGCGCCCGTTAGCTCCCCGCGCTCCCGCGCACGGCCCCGCGCTCCCCAGGCCTGAGCCCTCCGCGCGCGCCCGACCCCCCTCTGTCCCCGCGGGTTCGCCCGCCCTGGACACTTCGCAGAGGGCGGCTCCCGCGGTTCGTGGCCTTTCCCGACGGGCTTCCTCCACGCAGCCCAGCGGTTTCCGTGTGCGAATCCCAGATCCCAGCGCTTCCCCGAGTCCTTTCACCGCCAGGGTTACTGTTGTTGCCGACACTCGCGGTTTTCCTCGCGTGCTGTTATTCACAGACGGAGATCGTTTTGGTTTTTTTTTCCCCCCCCGGTTCTCATGCCGGCCGTAGCTTTGGTTTGCAGCGGCTGGTGCCTGGCGTGCAGTGTCGAGCAGTCGGGCGGAGGTCGCGGGCAGCCTCGCCCCGTTCCCGATGCTGGGGAGGTGCCCGTTAAACCAGGTGCCGGCCTTAGGGCTAAGGCGCCCGTAGTTAAAACACTAGAAAGCGTTCCTCGGCTTTTATCTTCTTGGGTGTTTTAATCACGATGGAGTGGGCGTTAGATTTCGTCAGAGGCATTCTCAGATCTATGGAGATTAACACTTTTCCTTAGATTTATTACCAGGGCATAGGATGTAAGTGGATTTCCTGATATTGAGCCAACCTTGCATTCCCGAAATGAACCCTAGTTGGCGAGGATGTGTTATCGCATAAAGTAGTGTTGGGCTGTGCTAATAATTTGATTAGAGTTTTTGCATTGGTATGTGTGAGAGATAGTGAGTGAGCTGTAGTTTTCCTTTCTTCTTATTTGTTCATCTGGTTTGGGTATCAGAGTTATACTTATGTCATAAAACAAATGAGGAACTTTTCATTCCTTTGCAGCACCCTGGAATTTGTAAAACACGGGGACTGTCTGGTGTCTGAAGGTTTGGTAGAATTCTTCTGGGAAACCATCTGGCTATATTACTTTTTGTGGGATAATTCTGTAGTAACATTATATCTCCTATGAGAATTGGTCTCTAATTTTTCGAACTCTGACCGGTCAGTGCTGGTAATCTGTATTTCCCTAGGGAATTACCCATTTTATAAACACGGGTATCAGAGCAAAGCTGCATCTGTGTTCCTGCGCCACACACTCATCTGTACTGTCATTTCCTTGACATGTTTATTTAAACAGGTGCATTTTCCCCTCTCAACTACATTTCTTTTTAGAACCCTTTATATTATTACTGCAGTGGAAAATCTGTACCGTTGGCCATAAATAGAAGTTAATTTAAAATAATCTAATAAAGGCAAAACAATATTAAATTACAGCACAAAAGGTCGTCTGCCGAAGGTTGTCTGTGGTCATAGAGAGCGTCAGCGAGCCGTAGGAAGTCTTAATGACGCACTGATTTCCAGCTAGACTTTCTCCTTGATGTAATCAGAGGACTGACAGAGCACTGGGAGGGGAATTAGCTTCTTGAGGGCCGTGTCTGTGTCCCACCCACAGTCAGCAGCGCGCTTCTCACGAAGCGGGAAATGCCGTTTAGAGCGTGTTCGAATTTACTCAACTGATGGAGGGCTCATTGTACAGCTGATTCATGAGGCATTAGATGCCGGACCTCTCGTGAAGGATGAAACACGCTCCCCAGGTACATTGTGACAGGTCCCGTGAGGACGGAGCACAGGGCGCTTTGTGAGACCAGAGCACGCCCCGGAAAGCTGAATACTGCGTGAGCAGGAGGAAGCCAGGTGGGGCAAGGACCGGGGAGGAAGGGGGTGGAGGTGTTCCAGGCTAAAGGAGAACAATGATGAAGGCCTCCAGGGAGCACGTGCCCGTTGTTGTAGGGTTTGTCTTTGGACACAGCCCTCAGGCTCTCTTCTAACAGCCAGTGTTGGGGACAGCGGCGCGGTTCGGGGAGTGGAGTCAGGATGCCCCAGCAGGATGCCGAGGAACTTTCATTGGTGTCTCCTGTGTGCCCGGTGGTGTGGGCAGAAAGATGAACCAGACACACAAGCCACTGCCCTCCAGAGGGCCACAGCCGAGGGGAGGAATCTCAGTATAAACACGTGATGTAAAGATGTGCGGAGCGCCCCAAGGTGTTCTGGAGCCAGCGCTGTGCGGGACTGTGTGGGCTTGAGGGCGGCTTTGTTTGAGGGAGGAGGGGACGCATGAGCTGAATCTTGAAGAGCAGGTGGGAGTTTGCCTGGTGCACGTGTGTGTGTGTGTGTGTACACACACGCGCACACACACGGTGCTCTAGCCAGACAGAAAGCAAGTGCAAAGGCTGGCGGGGGTTGGGAAGCACGAGGCACGTGTGAGGAGCCACAGGTGTCTGTGCGGTTGGGAGCATGTTGTGTCAGGAGTTGAATGGAGAAGAAAGGAGATTGTGGGAGTACATTGGGGCAGGATGGGGTGCTGGTATTCGCTCCTGTTGCTGACCTTTTAGGGGCTCGCCTTTCAGATCAGAAAGGGAAGGACATTTCCTAGGCACTTCCGAGGTTATCTCTAGTTTTTTTCCTTTTGTTTTCCCACGGTAATATTAGCTAATTGGAAAACCGCCCTTACCCCGTGATCAGAAATACACCAGCAACTGTCAAACTCCCCAGAGAGAACTCAAGAGGCATTTACAGTTGTCTCCGTTCTCGGGATCGTGGGGCCTTTCAAATAGGCACTGATGTGACCTTTCCTCTTCTTTCTTCTTTTTAGGTCTAATCCAGAAGACTTCAGTTAAAAAGTATGATTTTCCCATACCTGTCAATGAAGCTTCCAAAATAATGAAGAAAAAGAAAAAGGTATATTCTAGAAAAGGAGAATGAGCGGTATTTGAATTTTAGACTAACCTCACTAAATATAAACGTGTGAAAATACTCAAGGTAGTAAACCTAGTTTCATCTTTTGAAAAGTTTGATGTACTGAAATGAGAAAATAAAATTAGTTTAGCAGAAAGGGAACTTGGTTTGGAAATATTATATTTATTAACCATATAGAATAGTCCTGGCAGTGTTTGAAGGTACAAAACACATTTTAATCAAATTGTAACCCACTGGGAGATTTTTCAGAGTGTGAAAATATGTTCCATAGACTATAACACACTGACAGATAATGTAATGTAAGAAGAAAAATACGTATTTCACAGAAAAGAATAATGTAACCATTGGTGTCATGTTGCTCTTTTAAAGACCAGGAATGTACGTAAGTATCTAGCAGGAAAGCTGACAAGGACAGAACTTTCGTGCTGAACCCTCTTCACCTCTGGCCCAAATGTTATGGTAACTCAAGTGGTTTAAACACATTTGAGATGCCGTACTGGTCCTTGATTTCCACTGTGTGTTTATGCTTCAGTTTAAAGAAACTGTTAGTCGATAACGACACATAAAATCGTATTTTCTGAGCTTGGTGTTTGCGTTATAATTTACCTGTAGCATATAAATGGCATTCAAGGTGATTGACCAGATGCATTCTGGGTGAGCACCTAATCTTCCCACTAAGAAATATTTCTTCCCAGAACCAATCCCTCTCAGGTGAGAAGAAAAGAGCAGTCGCCAATATTTACTTATAACTATTACATGCCAGACATGGGCAAGTGCTTTACAAATATTTTTATTAATTCTGATAACCCAATATATGAAGTTATTCCTAGATGAGGTGAAAACACTTGCTCACGTCCAGCAACCGGTGAGCGACGGACCCGAATCCCAGCTGAGCTCTGTATGTTGCTCCCACGGTCCTCCTTTTTTCTATTCCGGTCCATCCATGCTCCCCAGTTGTTTCGCTTTGGTGTGTCTTCGCAGAAATGTTTTATTCTTATGTAGAATAAAATACATTAAAAATCAAATTATTGCCCAATGGTTAGACGTAGGAATAGAAATTCATTATTTTTGGTATTGAGTTGGCCAAAAAGTTCATTTGGTTTTTTCCGTAAGATGACCGTAGTGGTGCTTAGTTGTCTCTAACATCATTCCAATCAGTGTCATTAGATTGGATTGCAACAGCTGTCATATCATTTAAAAGAGCTTATTGAAAAAAACTAAGCGTGCATTTTTAAAAAACGTTTCAAAATTGAGGAATTTTCACGTAGCCATTTTAATATTGAGGATGGAAGAAAACATGCAACATTTCCGGAATATTGTGCTTTCTTATTTCAAGAAAGGTAAAAAAGCACAACTGACATGCAAAAAAGACTTGTGCGGTGTGTGGAGAGGGTGCTGTGCCTGAGTGAACGTGTCAGAGGCGGTCTGCGAAGTTTCCTGCTGGAGATTTCTCGCTGGACGGTGCTCCACGGCCCGGGAGACCCGCCGGAGTGGACGGCGGTCAGATGGAGACATTCGTTGAGAACAATCAGTGTTCTACTGTGTGGGAGACAGCTGGCATACTCAGAATGTCCAAATCAATAAAGTTATTGGTGAAAATGAAAAATGCGTCTTTTACGTTACAGAAAAAAAAAACATGGACTTTTTGGCCAACCCAGTATCTCTCAAAACACAAGTGAGTGTGCTGGAACCACCTGGGCAGAGCTCTGTAGACGCAGCCTTCGGAAGGAAACTTGACCCAGATGGTTACCTTAGACACTGCCGAGGGGAGAGGCCGGGAAGTTGGTGGGAAATCAGAGAGCTCAGTGTTCGTGGGGAAGAGACCGCGCTTGAGTTTTCGGTCTCTAAGTGCTGATACTGCTTTATAACGATAACACCAGCTGCCGGGCGGCACAGCCGGGTCCCTCCCGCTTGCCTCCGTCAAAGTGTGTTCCTGCGTTCCTGCCCAGTGCCCCTTAACTGTGCTGTCTCTTGAAGGTGTCCGCGTGGAAGAAGGTGCACAGACTCATTTGCAGAATGCTCCAAGAAAATGAAGAATACAGACTCAGGCTCAAAGGCCAACGGCTCTTTAGTGAAAGTAAGTTAAAATGTTTCTTGTCTTAAGGACTGGCTTTTGTAACGGTTTGGTCGCTTTCGGGTCACATTAGAGCCGCAGTTTTCCTGATAGGCACAGGCAGCGTCCAGAACCCGGGAACCGGGGCCAGCAGGTGACCTGAGGGAGGTGGGGTCGCCCTCGGGGGCGGGCGGGAGGGGCGGGTTGGCCGGAGTCTGCTGAGCAAAGGGAACGCACTTGTTGGTTAAATCTGAATTTGAAAACTTTTTAGTACAGATTACAGAACTCGTCCATGTTGATGAAGAAACACATTTCAACCTCAATATAAAATTATACATCAGTCTAGTCACATGGACGCTGCCATCAAATTTAATGCGTTTAACAAAATCTGCCCTTGAGTTAGGGCCTTGGAGTCGTTACCTCCTTCCTGGAAAACACCTCATAAGTTAAACCATGTTCTGAAGCCGTATCAGCAGTGAGCTTGATACTGTGGCCGAAGCAAGATGAGATATGATCTAGTGTGGGTACTGAAGTCCTTGGCAGATCTGGGTTCTCGAGCAATTAAATTGGATTAAAAAATCTATAACAATGCTGCATGAGCTGATAAATCATGCTAGTTATTACTTTTCCTTCACGTGCATGTTTTAATACACATGTTACCATGCCGAATGCTTCGGTAGGTTCTTAGTACAGTCACCTAATGACAACTTTAAAAAAATGTTTTATTTATTTTTAGAGAAAGGGAAAGGGAGGGAGAAAGAAGGAGAGAAACATCATGTGTGGTTGCCTCTCGAGCGCCCCCTACTGGGAACCTGACCTGCAACCCAGGCGTGTGCCCTGACTGGGAATCGAACCGGTAACCCTTTGGTTCACAGGCCGGCACTCAAGCCACTGAGCCACACCAGCCAGGGCGACAACTTCTATTTTGACAGTAAATCTGCAGAATTTAATTTTGTGAGGAATATTTTCAAATAATAATAGTTATAACAATGCTGTTTTGTAAGTAATGTAACACTAGAAACTCATTACTGTTTGTGTAGCATTGCATCAATAACAGCAGAAATTGTTTGCAATAATGGCATATAAGCCAATGTTCAATGTTCAAATTAATGATACTCTTTTTTACTTTTCTTGTCCAGTTAAGGAGCATGAGGCAGGAAAGGTGATTAGGAGGAAAAAGTAGTCGGTGGTTTTAGGTGAAAAGGATTTTGAATAAGCAGAGCGATGTGCAAAAAACCTAGACCTTGTTCTGAGTGTTATTCCAGGTCCAATTACTTTAATAACTGTACTGGATTATATCTAGTTTTGCTCTGGCTGTAACCTTGAACTTGTCGGTTTCTCTTGTACTTCAGCAAGAGGCCTTTATTAACCATGGAATAATCTCGTATGATTGTTTAACAGCTTACGATAATATGCAGTATTTTTCAGAAACAAAGGGCATCCTTGTAATTTGTTATTTTGTATTGCAATTTTAAGCCAGATTACAAGCTAATCATGTTTTTAAAATGTTGTAACTTGTTCCCTAATATGTATTAATAGGGAAACCATTCCTAGAGGCCAACTCGAATTTTCCTTGTATTTTATATTGTTTCTAGACTCAGACTGCACAGGATGAATCTCCTTATCATCTTCTGGTAAGAGTCTGTTTCGGTAACAAGTGTAACGTGAAATGCAGGTGTTTCACCGTTTCCCCTCTGTACCCTGCACTTGCTCCACCTTCAGTGTGTACGCACTGCGGTTCCAGCCAGCCCCCGCCCCCTCCCCGACCCCGCCGTTCGGCAAGTGGTGGGTGCTCATTCAGTCTCGGTTGAAACTTAATGAGCTTCGTCTGGGCCCCCTCCTCGCAGTGCTGTTGAAGTGACGGTCTCCGTGGTCCCCGCTTGGTCTTTCTGTTCGTGTGTCTGCCTGGTTCTCCCTGTGAATGTGCTGGCACGTTTAATACTGTTCCCTTACTGCTCCTTCCAGTGTTCCTTCTTCCTCAACGTCCTGGGGGCCGTGTCACGGTTCTCCTTCTGCTCTTCTGAGTCTTTTTTCTCTGTCCCTTGTGCTGCCACCTGATAACGAATGCCGCGCAGGAGTGGTTGTGGGGCCTCGTCTCCCTCCCTTTCCACGTTCACTTGGAGGCGACTCGTTCATGTCTTTGCAGCTTTAGTTGCTCCCTCTGGGGGTGCGACCCTTAAAGCTGTAGCCCACCCCTGACCTCTGGGCACGCGCCTCCGGGTTTCTGTAGGCCGCCCTACAGTTACTTTCAAACTTCACTGTTTGAACCGAGCATGTCATCTTCCCCCGTTTCTTTTGGATTGCGCCCTGGTTTACTAATCCTCTGGGCTCAGTGACTTCTGAGGGAGAGACTGCATCCGGTTGGGTGGGGTCGGAGAGTCGTGGGAAAGGGAAGCAAGCTGTGCTTTAGGAAAGGGAAAATGGACTCTCGTGCAGGGGAGTGTGGGGAGGGAGTGCGGTTTGGGCATTGACCCGAACGAGCACACGCCTCCCAGGAAGATGTTTAGGAAGTGCCGTCTGGTTGGCGCTTGGCCAGGGCAGTCAGGGGGCAGAGGGCGCCCAAGCCCACCGACGGTGCTTCAGGGGTCTCGTGTGAGTGCGGGGCCCCGGGTTTGTGTCACTTCGGTAGGTGGCGGACCACATGGAACATTGTCGTAGCTTTTTCTTTTAAACGATTGCCCAAGTGTGTGGAGAAGCTGCAAAACTTATCCAAAGAACTCCAGGATAATTGTTACCTTGCTCGACTGACTGTTGACATCTTGCCACATTTTCTTTATCATTCTCATTTTCTTTATCTGTGGATGTGCATCAGGTATGAACCCTTAATACTTTAGTGTGTATATCCTAAGAACAAGGGTGTCTTGGATGTAGCCACACTGCAGTTGTCACAGTCGGGAAATATCACACCGGTATAAAACTTTTGTATAATCTGTTGTGTGTATTCCAGTGTTTCAGTTGTCCCGGTGGTGTCTTTAATGGTGTGTGTGTGTGTGTGTGTGTGTGTGTGTGTGTGTGGTACCAGGGCTAGTCTGGGATTATGTACTGCATTTAGTGGTCATGTCTCTTCAGTTTTCTCTTTTCTTTTTTAATCCTCCCCTGAGGATAGGTTTATGGACATTTAGAGAGAGAGAGGCGCCAGTGTGGGAGAGAAGTGTCGATTGATTGCCTCCTGCACACACCCCGACGAGGGCTCGAGCCCGCAGCCCCTCAGCGTGCGGTGCGGTGCTCCGACCACCCGAGCCACTTGGCCGGGGGCCTCCGGTTTGCTTTAATCCGTACCGGTTCCTCAGCCTGTCGTCTTTTATGATGATGACATTTTTGAAGAGGACAGGTCAGTTATTTTTCAGACTGTCTCTCCAGACTCGCTGATACCGTCTCATAATTTGAGTCATATTTTCCATTTTTGGCTGCAAACGTCCTATCAGCTTTCTTGTCGGAGTGTCCCGTTTGGAGTTGTGCGACCTTCCTTATCCCTCGTTGGTGACGCTGACTCCGCTCTGTCGGTCAGGTTGCCCGTTTCCCCACTGTGTACGTACTTCCTCTTTCCCCTTTATAATCAGTGAGCGTTTTGGGGAAAGATACTAGATACTATGCACGTGTCTTGCACGTCATCAGCAGAGAACACTTTGAAGCAGTGCGTTGATGTCATTTTGGGGGACCTTTGGAAGAGAGGCGAGACCAGAGGTGAGAAAGAAAGCCCGGCAGCGCTGCCACAGTGGCCCGAGGGGACCGGGACGTGCACTTGACCAGAGCGGCGGCGGGTGGGGAGGAGACGCACGCTCAGAGGGAGCGGGTAAGAAAGAGGCTGCTGAGCTTCGAGAGTGGGTAGGAAGAAATAAGGAAATCGGGGGAAAGAGCTGGTTTTGTGAAGCTGCTGTGTTGTATCTTGGCGCGTTGAACTTGAGGATAGTGAGGCGCCCCGGAAAACTGCAGGCAAGCAGCTGGAGGCGCGGCGTCGGAGCCAGAGTGGCGTCTCCGCTGCGGGGAGGGGCGGCCGGGGGAGGCCGGGCGGGAGGCGGACGCCGCGGCGTGAGGGTGGAGGGCAGGGAGGACTCACGGCAGAAGGCCAGACGGTGTCCGGATGCAGGGCAGCTTTCAGCGCGGGCTTCGAGGGGGTGCGTGCGGAGGAGTGAGGCGATCGTGGGGCCGAGGGGGTTCCCAGGAAGCTCGAAGGAGATGGCAGTGCAAAGGGGGACGGTTGCCGTGTTCAGGGAGAGTGTCGGGGTACAGAAAATACAATAGAAGTGTGACAGCTAGGGACATTCAAAACTTCCAGCGCCCGGAAGTGAAGCAGAAGTTCAAAGCGACGACAGTAGGCTCGCAGTGACCTGGTGCGCGGCTGCGGTGGCTGGGCGGTGAAGGCCTGTGCTGTCGTGTTTTCGTGGCCAGTCCCTGTAACTGCGCCATCGAAGTCACCAGTATGATTGGCAAGCATCAGAGAGGAGGAGAAAAATACGAGTTTACACCAAGTCAGTCTAAGCTTTTCATGGTCAACTAGAGGCCGCAGAGAGAGTAAAAGTTACCGAAACGGGAAATGGAGGGAGTGACTGGCTGCTGCTATAAAGGCTTAGAAACGTTAGCATTTTCCAGTGTCACTGGCTGTGACATTTTGTACGAGCAAGGCTCAGCTCTCATCTTTTATTTAGGATCTGTTTACCGAGAGGACTATGAAGAATTTAAAGGTAGAACTTTAAATTGAATTTTAAGTATTTGCTAATTTGAGTTTTTTATTGGAATTGGGACTTAAGTAGTTGAACAGAAAAACCACCTTCTCTGTGAATTAATAATATTTCTTTGCAAGTTAACATCATTCATTAAATGTTCTTACTGTATGCATACAAGTATTATTTCCAGAAGTAATATTTATACATTCCTTTTAAGTTAAGCTTATACATGCAATTTAAATGAGCATATTAATACAATGGCATCCTTTTGAAATTGCCAACTTTACCTATTATTAATGAGGCTGCAACTATGGCTTTATTTATTCCCTCACTTATGTGTAATTTCTAAATAACGTAAATTACCTTCGACTTCCTCCCACGTTCTAAATTTCTCAATTATCTTATGATAAAAACATACAACTTACACAGCAAAAGTTATTTTGCATGTGAAAACAAATGGTTATTTAAGCCATCTTTTCACCCTAAGGAAAGGTAGTAAATTTCTGCGTGTTCTCTATTATAATATGGAATATTTTAGGAAAACTTCTGTGCAGAGAATAGAGAAGACATTTTCTCGTCCTTTCCAGACCTCTAATTAATAGATACATTACTTTTAAGTCAACGGAATGAGAAATTCAGAACTCTGAAAATAATTTAGAAGTGTTTTTCAGTGAAATCCTTTTATTTTCTATCAAGAATCACCTAGGACCTGTACCAGTTGCCGGGCTCCTTGGTCATGTGCTGTCTCCTCCTCTGTCGTATCGAAGTCCCAGGTGGACCTGAGACGGTAGAGGGAAAGACACAGAGAGGTCTGCCCAAGGTCAAGCTCCGTGGACACCCCCTGCTTCTTCCCCCGGAGGCGGAAGGCCCTGTTTCCCGTCCAGGATGGTAACGGTGACCACGGCCGTCGTCTTGGGGGAGATGAGACGGCGCTTCCTCACCGCTCCGATGACAGCCCGCAGAGTGGGGTGACTCGGAGCTCGCCTGAACGGCGCCAGGAGGAAGGGCGGTAAAATGAGTCACCGTTTCTCCTCCCTCTGCCTGCGATCTCCTTACTCCGAGGCCGGAGCAGTGCGGGGTTGGTGGTGACCCGTTCCCCCGTGCCTGCTGGGCCAGCCCACCGTTTCCAGCTGAGGGGCCCGGGGCCCGGGCCAGTGACTCAGGCCTTGCTTGCCATGCGGTGTCCGTCCGTCCGTCTGTCCATCCACAGGCCTCCTGGCAGGAGGGTCGTGCGTCTTAGGAATGTGCTGGGTAAACTCTCGGGCTGCTAAGTTCTTGGGTAAAGCTGAGAATTTTAGCTTATAAAACTTAAGTCATTGTAAAATGAGACATTTACTTGTTTACACTGAAATTAATGCGGCACAAAGCTTCGTGGTGAGCATGAAGATGTTATGTTCATGTCAGCGTAGGTTTATGTTGTATGCGACGCACTGTGCTTGACACAGTCGTCTGTTCTAATTTATCACACGTGTCAATATTTACTAGATTGGAAATATGAGTCCAATGCTGGATCACACTTCGTTTGCCTCGCTGTTCCGGGTCCGCGGCGTGATGGAGGCTTGTGCGGGTGTAAATGTGCTAGATGGACGCTCTAGACCTTTTCATTTTTATGTAAGAATTTCTGGTGAAAATGTGTTACATCTGCATTTTGTTAAATAGGATGTAATAAACATAATACAACTTTTCTTTGCTGACAATATCTTGAAAGTAACTTACATTTAATTATATTGCCCAGCACCTTCCAATCTACCCTCCCTGCCTTTTTCAGCCACAAGAAACACCACACGGATTTTGTGTGTATGATTTCTTTACTTTTTGTGTAGTTTTATTGCAATTACATGTTTTTCTACAACTTGCATCTATGTGTTTCATTTTCTAATGAGGACATTATTTTGCGTGTACTCTTTTTGTACTTTTAATATTATTTTCTAAGACTACGTTGCTAAAATCCGTGCATATCGTTGACTGCCACGGTGGTTCATTTGTTTCACTCTGCACTTCCTCAAAGTCAAGTACAGCGTGAGGAAGTAGCCCCACTGCTGGGAGTCCTGCGGTCTGGGCCCAGGCTGTCCCCCTTTCCTCCCGGTAAACTTGTTAACCATTTGCTTAACCTGTTTGCTTTTATTGACTCTAAATGATAAGCCTAAATGAGTCCTGTGATCTGCGCTTTTAGAAATCCGATTGTGTGTGCAGAAACGTTTTACCCTAGAGAGGGTGCAGCGGGAAATCACACGCATCGGTGGGCTGCCGCGTGAAGGCCCTGCCGCGGTGCTCACGGAACGCATCCTCGTCTGCCCTGTTCTGTGTGTTCTCAGACTCTGAGAGCGAGGGAGACGTCTCCTGTTTCTGGAAGCGTTCCAGTATGGTCCCAGGTGGCTTCATTTAATTGTCAGTCGTCAAGAAGGTCTTTCTGTGATCCCAGTGTGTCCTCATGGCCCCTAATTGTGGAATCTGGTGAAGTTGAGAGTTTTTCAAACAGCTGGAAGTAGCCTAGTTGACTAAGGATGACTCATTCATCCCAGGGTCTTCGTATGTCATTTCGGTGTTTGTACCAGGTAAGTGACTATATGCCAGGAGCCAGGCCTTTTAGTTTTTAAAAGTCACCATCAGCAGGAAATGGAATTATCTGGACACTAAGAGACAGAGATGAACTGAAGGCCGAAATCACCCAGCAAAGGTCACGCCAAGCACAGGGGCTGCCAAAGGTGCACTGCCCGCTCCCTCCTGAAGGTGGCGCCTTCGGTTAGGTAGCGCGCTCTAGGGCCGGCCGGCGGCCTGCCGCCCAGCGGGGAGTCCGCTGCCCTTCAGGAGTCAAGTTCAAGTGGGGCATCCGCCAGTTCGCTCATCCCCTTATTCGGGAAATACCGATCTAGTACACGTTACGCTCCAGATTCTGTTCTAGGCCCCGGGGGAACAGAAGAAAGCAAAGCATACTAAATGTCTGTCTTCAGGGGAAGACGTAATCAACTAGATAACGAAAGTATTCAGCAGGTTTACAATCAAGTACTACGGAGGCGAGTGAGGGAGGGGAGGGTGTGTGGAGGGCCGCGGCGGCAGGCGGGCAGGTGGAGGGGAGGCTGCGCAGGGAAGGCGACCGGGAGGTAAAAGCCTGAAGTGAGGGGGCCAGGCGTGCAGACGTGCGGGGGGGGCGGGGGGGGGAAGATCCTGGGAAGGGCATTCGGAGTGCAGGCCGGGACGCTGAGGCCGGAGGAGAGGAAAGGGAGGGGGAGAGGTGGCAAGAGGGTAGCAGACACCAGATAATGTCTCACCATCCCGACGGCTGTTCTCAGAGTGCGATGAAAAACCCTGGGAGGGTTTTGAGCAGAGAATTGGCATGGACCAGCTAACACTTGGCAACGGTTCTGAGGACGGATGGAAAGGAAGCGAGGGCCTCCTGTATCAGTCGGAGAGGGGTGACTTTTCTCCCTGTCTGTCAGTATAAGCAGAAAAATCTAAGCAAGCAAAGCCCCTCTACAGAGAGGGAGTTTCCGTGGGGACTTGGCAAGCACTGAAGTCTCTTTCCTGGGCGAGGACACCGTCCACCTCCCGGGAGGGCGCGCTCACGTCCTTGAATTTGGTTGAAGAACAGCAGGTGTGCGAGAAAAATACTGACCGTCGCTAACAATCAGGAAAGTGCAAACCCAAACCACGGTGAGGTCTCACCCCACACCGGTTAGAACGGCCGCTGTCCAAAGACACACACGCCGAGTGCTGGCGAGGATGCGGGGGAACGGGCCCTCGTGCACCGCGGGGAGGGGGGGGCGGTGCAAACCGCTGCAGCCGCCACAGATGACAGCACAGAGGTTCCTTGAAAACCCGAAAATACAACCGCCGTGTAACCCAGCTACCCCACCTCTGGGTGCATTTCCAAAGGAAATGAGAACGGCACCTCGAAGGGGTATCTGAGCCCCCGCGCTCGCCGCAGCATTTTGCACAAGGGCCAAGGTCCGGAGCCAGCCTGAGAGTCCGTCGGTGGCTGGGCGGATAGAGCAGGTGGGACACACACACACACAGTGGAGTACTATTCAGTCTTTTAAAAGGAAGGGACTTCTGTCACTGTGTCAACATGGGTGACCCTGGGGGACACTATGCTTAGTGAAACAGGCCAGGCAGGGAAGGACACGGACAGCGTGGTTTTCCTTACACGTGGAATCCAAAAAAAGTCCAACTCAGAGGCAGAGAGTAGACTGGTGGTTGTCAGGGGCAACCTTAAATATATACAATGTTTATTAATTATACTTCAGTAAAGCTGGAGGAAGAATAATAGATGTTTACCATCTGTTCTCCCTTCCTGGTGAATCAGAGGGTCTCGCGGCCATACGGGGAATTTCCCCAAGGTCTCCATGGTGCCCGGCGACCTTGCGTTCACCTCTGATTCCACCGCGTGCCTCAGTAGTCTCTTACAAATTCACTACTTCTTTTTCTTTAAAAAAAAAAACACAAGTATGTTTTCTAGAACCCAATAGATTTTTTTCTTTAGTAGAAAATTAGTCATGTTTTCTCCCATTAGTTTAACAATAAATAATGTTTTGGGGAGATGAGAAAAAAAATATTAAGAAAAGATGAAAATCTCCAGGAAAAAAAATCCTATGCACATTTTAGTATCTTTAAGTCTTCCCATTTTCACACAGTTGAGATGTCTATACAATTTGATTCCTCTCTGTACCCAACATGATACACACTCCCCATGCTGACGCAGTGTCCTAGGATGTTTTTAATGACTGAACGATGTTTCATCATCTGGGATGAACCAACACTTACCCATCCGCCTCCTGGTTGTTAGTATTTAGGTCGCAAGAACTCGGTCTTGATTCTTACTCAACCACAAGGGCATGAATGACCGTGTCATTTTAAGGAAGGGCGGGCATTTCAACACAGGAGAACGGAACACGGGGCGTGTACGTGAGGAGCGGAATATACCGCAGTCTGGGGTCTCGGGGGGAGACTTGTCTGCGGAAGTCATGTTTCAAGGGCTCTGCAGAATCCTCAGCAATGAAAGGAGCACCCCCTGCAGAGGGCACCTCGGAGGAAACACCCCGAGACAGTCCCTGGATTGGGGAGGTGTGTTTGGGGTCAGGGGGAGGGGACAAGCGGCAGGAAGTGACGCTTGTTGGCTCAGCAGGGGACAGGTCATAGAGCCTTACAAGCTAGGTTTACGATTTTGGTCTTTATCTTTTAAAAAGCCTCTGGGAAGTTCTAGGAAAGCGAGTCACGTTACCAGAATTGCGTGGACTACAGTATAAAAGGTAGGCTGGCGGGGGGGAAACTGGGCTGTCAGGAGACATGTTCGCTTGGGAGACAGAGGGGACCGAGGGGGAGTCATGGGGGGCCGGAGAGGAGCGATGTGAGGGAGATTTGGGAGGGAGAAGTGTCAGGGCTTGGTGATTGGGAGCAGGGGCGAGGGAGATGTCGAGGACTCAGTTTTCTGACTCGAGCGATGGGTGCATGACGGGGCAGCTCCCTGGTGGGGCCACACTCTGGGGGGGCGGAGCAGGCACTGGGTGAGCCTGGGAATGTGGTTTTGGACGAATGGGGATTCAGGTAGGTGCCTGGGAGCCACCCGAATGAAGGTGTCCAGGGAACGGCTGCATTTTGAGATCTGAGTGGAGAAGAAACCTCTCTGCTGGAGGTAAAATGTAGCAGTTACAGGCGTATGGATGGCATCTGAAGTCACGGGTGTGACTGTCAAGTGCGGTGTGAAGACGGATGAGGACAGAGCCACGGTGGACGGACGCTGTGCTGCCCCGGTAGATGTCCCGTCAGGACCGAATGTCTCTGTCCCTTGGCTGTTGGCCGACAGCCGTGGCTATGAGCCTGGTCCACGGATTGCCCTTGAGTGGAGAGAGCCACCTGCCCAAGGCCTTGAACTGCTAGGGAAGGGCACCCTCCCGCATCTCAACCAGGGGCGGCTGAAAAGGGCCGTCCGAGTTGCAGAGGCAGCTGGGAGACGGGCTGAGTCGCGTTGTGGAGAGTTGGTTGCGCTCAAGTTCTCTGTCTGACCACGCCTGCCTTCTTTCCTCCCCTTCTTCCTCCCTAATAAACTTCCCGAGTTCAAAGCTCTCTGCGCCCCAAACTCTCCCCTGAAATGTGACTTGTTTTAGAACATAGGCCGGGCAGCCTTGTGGTAGAAGAGTCAGATGAATGGACTGTTTGACAGGAAAGGAGTCTCTTGGGATGCCTTTCAAAGATGTACATTTCCGGGTGAAATTCAAAAACTTTCTCAAACAGCCTTTATTATCAAATTATTGCTTTTTCAGTGGGTTTCCTGGCTTTCATTGGAAGGGTTCTGTGTAAGTTATCCTGTTTGTGCTGACCAGAGCTGCCTTCTTGATTTACAGTCGCCTTCCTCAGCTCTTTCCAGCCAATCGGAGAAGTGTGAACTGGCCTTTCTGCCATTCGCCTTTCTGCCTCTCCTTCATCCTTTCTGATTTTCCTTTTAAATCACAAGTAGGCAATGACCCACTTCCTTTCTAAGAGGGAAGAGAATCTCTCGCCTTTCATAGCTTTCTGACTGTTATTTGAAATTTAAATGTAGAGCTCCTAGCCAGAGTCTGAGAGCATAGCTCATTTTTATGCCTGCCTCTGGGAGATTCTTAAGTTTCTAAAAAGCTTACATTCCTATCACACCATTACGTTTGGAATCACATTCGTAAGCTGACAACTTAACAAGATTTATAATGAGGCATTTAAAGTGCTTTTATCATCTCTTTCATTGGCGATGTATGTATACGGGAAACAAAACGAAACACGTAAGGTAATGAGCCCATCACAGGAGTGTCACAGGTTCATTGAAATTTATGTGTGTGAAATATTATTTCCACACGAAGCATCACTCGAGGCGTTTGGAAAGAGATCCACGTTGTATTCACTTCCCTCCTGCTTTCAGCGCTGACCAGAGTCCCAGGGACGGGAACAAACGGGGAAGATGCATCGATGAACCCCGAAGACTGGGGTCTGACACCCGGTGAGAACGTGAGAAAGGAGAAGCGTGAACAGGAAGACACGTCATGTGCCCGAACGATCTCGTTTCCCACGGGAGGAGATCAAAGGAATTTGTTTTGTCCTTGAGGTTGAGAGATGCACGTCAATTCAAATATGTTTTGACATGCTAAAAAAATCACCAAAGTCACATAATTTTAAAACATATGCGTTCCTCCCAAATAACTGGAGAAAAAAAATTTATAGAGGAAACAGTGAAAGAAATCACAGAAATGATGCCACGTATAAGGCATTGCATGTCGTCGTCAGAGTTCATTGCAAACGGCTGGGAAGAACAAAAAGACGTGGAGAAGGAAGGATTTACAACAGTATTGTAGGTGGAGAGGAATTCGAGTCACAAAACACTAAATGAGACAAATAAGCTGTTTTACATTCCCTAAAGCAAAATTCACAAGAAGGTGTGACTTCATGAGCATGTGAACCACGTAACACAGCTTTACTGCAAGGAGAAATAGCACAGTAGTAATGGGAAAGAACAACACCCCTTTCTAATTTCTTGACAGATCAAGCAACTGTAAAAATCAATGAGGTCAATTTGATTTCATAGTTATGTACACAAACCTATATTTATATAGGATACACTTTCTTCATGCACAGAGAATTTTAGCACAAATAAATCATGTCCTAGGCCGCAAAGAAAACTTAACACATTCCCCATGACAGAAAGTGTACAAAGGCACCACTGGACCTCATGCAATGAAACTAGAAATGAGTCTCAAAAGATATAAATTAGCAACAATGAAAACCAAGCATTTAGAAATTAAAATAAAAAAATCTTATTTTACTGGATGATGAGTCAGAGAAGCAAATCTTTAGTTCTAAAATAACTGAGGAATGATAATGAAAAAAAAGCAGCACTATTCCAGAGGTGAAATGAAGTAATAGCATTCATTTCTTTTAGTATCAAACCGGAAGAAGGCAAATCAGTAAACTAGATATTTGTCCCAGAAAGTTCAAAAGGGAAAGGTGAGATAAACTTCAGGAAATGAGGGAGAAAATATATTTTTTAAAGATTTTATTTACTTATTTTTAGAATGGGAAGGGAGGGAGATAGAGAGAGAGAGAGAAAAACATCAATGTGCGGTTGCTGGGGGTTATAGCTTGCAACCCAGGCATGTACCCTGGCTGGGAATCGAACCTGCGACACTTTGGTTCGCAGCCCGCGCTCAATCCACTGAGCTATGCCAGCCAGAGGAGAAAATAGTATTTAAAAGTATAAATTAATAAATTAGAAAACTAAAGAATCACTAATGTAAGAGGATTTTGAAAAATGCTTATCTAATGATTGAATAATAGTAGACACTCGTTTTGCACTCACAGATGTTCTAAGCACTTTACGTGTGTTAATGCATCTAATCCTGTGGACAACCCGGTGGTATCCACAGTTTACAACGAGGAATTCACTTCAGGGTGTGCCACAGGTCGGGAGGAAAGCCCACAGAACTGACCCTGTTTGGCAGGGTGTGGCGCTACCTAGATATCTGTGGTTTGGAGTGCCCGGCGCTCCCTCCCGCTTTTTGGAAACGCTCCCTCCCTTTCTTCCAAGAAATGCTTTTGTCCACTCGGACCACGCGGCACTGGATCAGGGCTCACCTCCCGGTTCCTGCTGCTCTCCCGGCTCTGGGACCTCACGTGACCCGCGGGATGGCAGCCGCGTTGTGAGGACAGCAGCGGGCGTTCGTGCACTGCCTGCTCCGCGCCAAACGCTCTCCCAGGTTATCGCATTCCCATCTCACACCAACCCTGCCACGTGGGCGCTGTCGGAAATCGCATTTTGGGGACGAGGGAGGTCGTCTGAAAGCGCCCGGAGGAATGAATGAATACCCACTGCGTGCAGGGGACATAGTAAACATTAGCTCCCCTGCCCTCCTTTCCCCAGGTCCCAGCCCGGCGCAGGGCCCGCACCGCTGCGTTTCACAGTATGTTGTTCCGGGAGATCTTCAGAGGTGGCGCCTTTCCCCAGGAAAGGTGCTGTGCCAGTTTTTCTAAAGGCTCCAGGATTGTTTGTTACACGATGTGTTACACTGTGTGTGTGCTTGTGGCCAGAATCCCTCCCACTTTCTTGAAACCATTTTGTCCCGTGCCGGTTGTGGCCATGCATGAGAAACAGCAGGTGGTGCCAGATGACAGATGGTGTGGGAGCCCGTCCCCGGTGGGAGGGGGCGCGAGCGCGCGAGCGAGCCAGCGAGCAGGCGGGCCGCTGCCAGGAGCTCAGCCCTGCTCGCTCGCGGGCGCCTCCGCTCTCAGAAGCTCCCGATCCAGACACACGCGAGGCGCTGTCCTTTCAGCACCGCGAGCCGGCCGGGGAGGGAGGACTCTTGGCCGTCCTCCTCCTCTTCAAATTGGCTTGAATCGGCTCAGATTCCCAAGAGCGCGGCGCAGTAAGTAGGCATTTGTTTTTGCAACAACCACTCCCCAATACCCCGCAGCCTTCCGCCGTCCCTTTCAGCCCCGCGACAGCCCTGTTTTGGCTAACAACGTTCCATCAGTGGGATTGACAAGAGGCATTCAGTTGTGCGGGGCTGCTGGGGGTGGGGCGGGAGCACCGCTCTAAGGGAGCTGGAGAGGAATGGGTGTGATGTGTGTGTGTAGTTGGCAATCTGGCAACACGGGGCTTGCTAACTTTCCATGCAAGGAAAAAAATGGCCCCTCCGCTATTGAGGAAAGAGAGTTATTCCACGGCTGAACGACAGGTTCGGGGTTAAGCCCGTCCTTTTTGGGGTTGTTTTGTGAAATTGTGCCTCCTGTACAAGCTCCATGTTATGTAAAGGGGCACACGACCCATCGAGACAGGGAGTGTTATCTGTTGTGCTTTAGGGAGATTGCTGAAGGGAAACCGGTAGAATCCAGCGGCAACCATGGTGGTGAGGTGGAGCCTTCCCTGCTGCAGGACGACCCAGAATAATAGGGTTTAATCGTGTGCTGAGAACAAGCTCTCCCCTGACATGCTGTGCCTGTGTGAGCTCTAGCGTCTTGCATATTTTTTTTAAGCCCGTGTATTTTTGTGTGAGTTCCCCAAATTTGAGGACTGTTGAGCCCCGTGGGCAGACGGCATATTCGGATGATTGCAGAAGTTTTCCGGAGAAGGGGAATCATGTCAGGGAATCCAGAGGGGGACCCATGCCCGGTCCCCACACCGAGAGCCCCCCGAGGAGCGGCTGAGACGGCGCCGCTTTCTCCCCCCCTGCCCGCCCCCCTCGGGCCGTAACCGGAATCCTGCTGCTCGCCCAGGTCGGGAAGAGAGGCTCGAGGATGGTGAAGCTGAACGGCAACCCCGGCGAGAAGGGAGCCAAGCCGCCTTCGGTGGAGGATGGCTTCCAGACGGTCCCCCTCATCACCCCCCTGGAGGTGAACCACTTGCAGCTGCCTGCCCCAGAAAAGGTAAAGCGGGTCCCTTCTCGGCAGCCCCCGCCCGCCCCCACCTCAGGAAACAAAGCGGCAGGGCACGCCGCCCCCAACCCTTGCGTCCCCGCGGCGGCCGAAGACGCTGCCTTTCTGGTAAAATGTAGCTCTGCCTCCCGGAGGCATGACATCACTCGCATTATGTCAGATTTATGGTGAGTGTTTATTCTTTGTTTTTTGGTTCACGTGTCTCCCTATTTAAAGTTTTACCATGCTAGACGGATACGAATAAGCTTTTACACGGTGACAGAGAAAATCGTCTTGATTATTTGGGGGTGGTGTTTCAAAAATCAACCGGTATAGATCTCGGGATGGAGACTTGGATGCAGTCCAGCACGCGCTCGGCCAGCACCTGCCGAGGCCTTGTCCCCGTGCTGGAAGTGGGCTATAGAAAGACGGATGACAGAATCCCTATCCGGTAGAACACAGCACACAAGATGAGCCTCGTGGTGAGTGCCGTTCCCGGGCGCCCTAAGGGCCGTGACAGCAGAGGTGCGGGAACCACTGAACTCCGCTGCGGGGAGGAGGGGCTGGCGGGGCAGGCGAGGCGAGCTGCAGAGGACGTTTGAATCGGGCTGTTACAGGTGAGTACACACCTTCCAGGTAGACAGACCGTGGGAGGCAGAGGTATTTAAGGCAAAGGGCACGCACGGGAAGTAGCGTGACCAGTGTAGAGTGTCTTCGGGGGAGGTGTGGCTGGAAAGGAGCGCCTGGCTGAAGGGACACCTCCTGGCGTGGGTGTAGTCCATGAGGAGTGGAGGTGGGCATTTATGCAAAGGTGTGGCGGGGGGAGTGGGGAGGTGGCTAGCGCACGGACACAGGTGGGAGAAACCTTGCCATTTAAGAGCCATTGAGCGCACCTGGGCCTTTATCAGGTGAGCTTTTACACAGTGGGAGACAGAGATTTGGAGACAAATTACGGAGTTCCCTGGCCGGAGAGCGAACAATGGATCATCCTGTCTGTTTGGTTCTCTCATTGGTGTCTCCGGGAGGGCATTGTGTGTCTGGACCAATTGGCTCTCTGCGATGAACAGAAGAGGAGCCAGAGCTAGATCAAGGGCCCGGCTGATTGGCTGGGGGTTGAGTCATCTGTTTTGAAAGTGCAGAGTTTGTCCATGTGAGAGTGTGCACGGGGGTGGCAGAAATAAAGAAACCTGGAACTGTCCTGAGAAACAGATGAAGTCTTTAAAAATTAAACTCGAACAAGCAATGAACACTCAAGTGATGCCGGGGGACAGCATTAACGGGGCATCTGATGCAGGTGGAGCAGAGGTGCTCGGTTTCTGGCCTGAGATCCAGGCCACACCCCAGAACAACTGAATGAGACTCTCTGGGGGTCAGACCCGGGCAGCACAGTTAATTAAGTCTTGCCAGGTGACCCCTGTGTGCATGCAGCCGAACCTGAGAAGCATTTCTCTAGACACACCTTACCGCTGGGCGTTGGGGTTATGGCTCACATGGACAGGTGATAAGGTGAAAGGTCAGAGAAGTTTGGTTAGTTCCCAAGCTCACAGGAGTGTGCGGTGATGCTGGAATTTGGGCCCAGATATAACAAAAGCTGGGGAGGAGGGGAGCTATTCTCTTGAGGTTTTGCGAGGTTTCGGGAAAAATTTTACCCTTCAGCTGACACCTGCAGCCTCGGAGACCTGCATGCCCTCGAGAGGTGTGCCGAGAAGAGGGGCCGTGGGGAGGTCACCCTCCCCCCCGACGGTCCGCACACCTGCAAGTCATCCGGACATACTCCGACCTCTGTCCCTGTCTGTTCCCCCATCCACTCTGTCCTCCTGCCTTCGCGGGCTTTCTTCTTCCCTTGAGAGAGGACACGGGCCCAACAGCCACTGAGCACGTAGTGCAGAGGGGCCACAAAGCTGCCCCAAAGCCCGAAGGGTGAACACAGTGTGGCCCTGCGTGGAAAGGGAAACCAGTGCATCCCAGAAGGTGCAAACCCCGAAGGAGCACAGCCCTACAGGGCCCCATCACGCAGCTTCCTTCTGGTGTGCACGATGGACACCACCAGGCGGACCTCAGTTTCCTCTTCTGTGAAGTGGGGGCGATCACGCCTACCTTCCAATGGTCCCAACCATAGAGGTGGCCTCATATGCAAAGTGCCTGGGACAAAACTAAGTATAAGAGAGTAGTAACGGCCATTTTTAACAGTTAAGAGGACCCATAAAAAAGTTGCTATTTTAATCCAGTTTTTAAAGATGATGAAACTCAGGCACCGAGGGGTAAAGTAGCCTCCTAAAGCACATAGTTGGCAAGCATTCCATCAATGTCAGGAGGACCTAGAACCCAGGCAGAGTTGTTCTAGAAGCTTCTGTCTTGGCAGGAACAAGGAGCCAGCCGGCCTGGGCATCCACAGATGAATCGCCAGCCCACAGCGCGGCTCCTGTGAGCTGTTTCGCTCAGGCCTCTGTCTTCTCTGAGTGGGGCGTTGAATTAGCAGTTTTCTGTGCTAGTGTTTAGCTTTTATAACCTTTACAAGAGCAACCAAGCTGTTCCCCTGACATCGGAACAGACGTATTGGGCGTGAATTCCGCTCCGCAGCCAAAGGGGTCCTGCGCGAGCCGCACGGCCATCGCAGACGGCTCCCCCGCTTCCCAGCCTCCCTCGGCCGGTGACACGGAGCACGTCCCGTGTGCTGCCCAGCCTCCTTGTGTGTGAGGTGGGGCCGACACCCTTGGGACCCCCTCCACGGGGCCCGGGGAGGGGGAATCGCGTCCCGACCTGGTTGTCAGCTCTCTGACGAGGCTCCGGCCAGGCGGTGAGCGAGGGGAGCGAACCCGGCTGTCGGGGAGAAGTCGGTTTGGCCCCAGTGTTCAGTCACGGTGTTTCTTTTTCGTGAAAGGGAAACGCAGAGCGTGCTTGGCCGGAGCAAGGACGCCCCTGACAACTGCGATGCCGGCGACTGTCTTCGCATCTGTTCGCTGAGTGCTCTTTGGGGTGGAGTCGAGTTTCAGGGGGAGCCTTTGGAGGCCAAATGGACAGGACACGTCTGTGACGTACGTCCTTGCCCTGCGCTGGGGACGGGCCGTGCGGAGCACTCACAGCCGCTGCTCCAGCTCATCTTCCCTGCAGCCCCGTGCGGTGGGCGCTAGTGAACCCATGTCACTACAGGGGAAACTGAGGCTCAGATCAGTGGAGTGACTGCTCTGAGCTGCACAGACAGAGAGGAAGAGCTGGGGCTGGAACCCCGGTGCACCCGACACCCTAGTTCCCCCCCACCCCAGCACTGCGCCGCCTTCCATAACGAGACAGCCCCCCACTCCCCTCCCAGAGACTGGTTCTTCAAATGCCGCATGCCCTGGTGTGGCCAGCTCCTCCCCGAGGTGCTGGGGGCCACTCCCCAGGGCCAACCCAGCCTCCAGGGCCCCCGGCCCAGTGCCGGGGGACTGGTGCCTGCTTCAGTCTCCACACTGCACCTGAGCTGCAGTCCCCAGAGCTGTGACCAGGTCCTTTCCCTGTGAAAGCCCTTTCAGGCGTCCCCACAGGGTACCATCTGCAAATCCTCACTTCAGTGCTCCTGGTCCTTTGTTACCTGCCAATTTCGGTTTATCTAGGTGGCCGTAGTAACAACACAGGGGTCCCCACAAGCCCTCTTGGAGGTCACTACCATTACCCCCACTTTACAGATGCAGAAACCGTCTCAGAGAGGCGGGAAGCTGTCCCGGGACACGCCCCGAGAAACCTGGGCAGCCGAGGCTGCACACAGGTGTGCTGGGAGCGAGCGGATGGCAGGTGGGCAGAAAGCAAGCCACAGACAGGCCCAGCGCCACGCTGGCGCAGCCCCAGGTGGACCGCGCACTTGGCGAGCCGGCGGCCAGGCTCTTGGCGAACGTTCCTTCCCTTTCGACGGAGTACTCTGTCTTTACACACCCTGGCCCCCCTGCCCGGCCGGGGGGAAGGAGTGCAGACACTTGGAGGTCAGTTACTAATGCTGGGCACGCTTTGTATTTTGCACGGTAGACCACGTGCTCTTTGTGGTTCTAGAGTCTTGGGTTCAAATCCCAGCTGAGCTACTTACTTGCTGTGTGGCTTTAGGCAAGTTGCTTAGCATCTCTGGGCTTTGGATTTTTCCAACAGTAAATGAGCCTAATACCTACCTAACCGGGTTACTGCGAGAGAAAAACACGAAAATCGTCTAAAAGCAGATAGATGGTGCTCACTGGAGTTTCCTTTCCTCCACTGGCCAGCGAGAATATAGCTCCTAAGGTGGGCGTTTTTGGAAACCGATTGTCAAAGCGAAACCTGCTGAGAAGCCTGGGGTTTCAAGGGTAGGGGGTGCAGGGGCCGGATGGGTGGGCCCGGAAGGTTGGCGGAGGAGGTGCCACTCTTGTTACTGAGTCCCGTGTCCTTCCTCACCCTCTCTTGTGGCCCCACCGAAGAGCTTCTTTCTCTCCCTGAGCCACGGGATCAGAGGCCCAGCAGCCCCTCCCCAGGGAGCCGCAGAAGTGCCCGTCTCTGCAGGTGCTGGGCCCGTAGAGCCACCTGGCTCTGCTTCCCAAAGACGCTTAGGAGACGGGACTGGAAATCACTCTGAGTTGGGGGACAGGCCCTGACTGCGCAGTTCCAACGAGCAGGTGTAAAACGACCACTAAGCATATTAAAAACTTCTGTATAATTTAAGGACATAATTTTGAACCAAATAGAGCTTTCTGCCTATCAGATGGCAGAACGAATCGCTAGTGGCCGGTGTTGCTAACGCCAGCAGTTAGCCGGTCCCGGTGTGCGCTTGTGGGTCATGGAATCGGGTGCAATGCTTTCCAGAGGGGGTGCTGACGCGGCCTGTAGGATGTCAGCTGTGTGTGCCATTTTCCTGGGACGCTTCCAGCTGGTAGGACGTTATCCTGCGGGTAGAGTTTAGCAAGGATGCAAAGGCCAGCGAAGCCCTGGGAACAGCCAGGACACTCCACGGAAAGGCGTGGGCCAAGCAGACCCTGGTGCTCGGGGCACGAAGCGGCTGCCGGCAGGAGGCGGCCGACCAGCCCATGCCCACCCGACGGGCACACCGTGCGGTGAAAACGACCTTAAAGGGCATCGCAGGGGCGGTCCCGGTTGCGGGGACACCTGCGTGTGTTTCATGCTTATGATTTACAGAACAGTTTGAAAAGTATCTCGAGAAAACCGTCGACTGCTGAAGGTGAAGGGATGGAGGGGCGTTTGAATAATTTTATTCTGTATTTTGAACACTTTTCACCATGAGCACGCATCAAATTTTCTGTTTTTTAACTAAGGTCACCCCGATTTCCCAGATGATAAAACAGTCCCGGAGAGCTGGCGTGACTTGCTCGCGGTCACACACAGAGATTGGGTTCGAATCCTGACGCCATCCCCTGATTGCTGTGTGACCCCGGGCAAGCTCACTAGCCACTCTGAGCCCCACGATTTCTTCTTGTTGGAATGGGAACAATATCTTCCTCTGAGAACTGTTTACATGTGAAATGAGAAAATACGGTACGTGTCGAAGGTTTATCACGGTGTCTGGCGCAGCGTAAATGCGTAACGTGAGGCAGTCATTATTATTGCCACCACTATTGTTCTTGTTTTTATTATCGTCAGCTCCGCCCCGGCGGGGTCTCTGTTCCCGGGAGTGCAGGGGCTGGCCCCCGGCCACCAGCAGAGTTGAGCAGTGGGTGACGTGGACGGAGCCCCCGGACCACAGGTGGCCGGCCCGGCGGTGGAGCTGGGGACCTGGTTCCAGCCCAGGGAGCACACCCTTGCTCACGGCAGAAGGAGCTGGGAGCCCCCAGGAGAGGACCCTCGGGAGACTCCCTCGTCTTGCCCCACACTACCCATGCCACACAGCTGGCGTTCAGTGATTCTGGAATGATGACCTCACTGGTGTGGGGCCCTTGGATCTGAGCCAGAAGCCGGGGTTCCAGCCTTGGCTCTTCGCGGCCATGCCGGGCGGTGGGGTCGTTTCTGCCCCTCGTCTGTAGAATGGGGGTGATCGCTCCCCCTCCACCCCAGGAGTGCGGAGAGGGTGGGCTGCCATGAAGGAGGGGAACATCTGGCTCAGTGCCGGGTGCAGAGTGGGCACCCCCTTCCCACAGCCCGGCCGGAGAGAGCAGGACAGTCTTGACACTGATTCAGAACAGCCACTTGCCAGTCATTCGGTCCCAGGCAAGCGACAACTGTCTGGGGCTTGATTTCCTCGCCTGAGACCTGGGAATGATGACTTTGAAGGACGGATGCGAGGGTTGGAGAGACGGTTGCCAGGGGAGTTCGGAGGGTGAGCTGGGCCCTCAGCCCTGTGCCTGGCGCATAGTAGGTGCTCAGCCACCGGCCGCTCTCTGTCCTGCTCTGAACAGCTCTCCATGAGCCACAGGGCGCGGTCCCACCGATTTTCGTCCAGTGCTAGTCCAGCTCAGAAAAATACAGTCTTGCTTCCTGTCGGGTCTTCTGCACTGATATGTGTCACTCCTGCCAACCCGGGGCCTCTTCATTATTGATAATCCCGGGAAGCAGTATTTAAAATTTTTATGATCTGTACTTTGCGCCGTCTGAACCGCCATGTATCATCTGGCCTCGCCAGCGGACGGGGAGCAGAGCCAGCTGAGGGGTCCTTTCGGGATGAATAATTTATCCCATTTCCACAACGGCATCGTTTCACACTCATGTTAAATGATGTTCTTCATATCGGCCACCGACAGGGCCCTGCGAACGGATACAGAAATATGAAAGAGAATTTATTTCCTTGCCCAAATCCACAATGATATTAGAAAATCTGGAGGTCCATTTTTCCCAAATATCTCTAACCACCTTCTTGACAGGAGATAGCAGAAGAATCTTTTTCTTCTGTCCTCTCTTCACTTTTGCTCCCATTTCTGTTATTATTCAAGGAGCTCGGGGCTCTGTTTTGCTCCATTTTCCCCCAACTGCTGAGAGCAGAACCTTTCTCTGCAAATTTATTTCCTCTTCCCTCTTTGCTTATGCAAGCTGGTTCCTCCAAGGCCCAATTAATAACGATCAGCTAACATTCCTTATGCTTTCCCTGCATAGCACGGATAAAAGTGGCTGTCGCGGCACCTCCTTTAATGGAAGGGGACAGTTTCTGGCTCTCTGTCTCCTCTCCGTGAGACCAGGACACCAAGCTCCATGACACGCCTCACAGCTGGTCGATGCCAGTAACTTCGTGGGGCTGGGCCCTGCTGCTTTCTTCGTCTCCCGACAGGGGTTCACGGCGGCAGAGGCCTCTCTCCGAGCTGCTGTGCACCTCTGGACAGCCCCTCTCGGCTTCCTAACCCTCCCCCTGCCCCTCGCCGCCCTCAGTTCATCTCCACGGTGCTTGGCATGCCATTCGGAGCCTCTGTCTGCCCCCTGCCACCTCGCCGGCCTGTTCCCTGGCCACTCAAGCCCTCCCTTTGTAGTCTTCCCCAGGTGCCAGCCTCTGGGTGTCTTCTGGGTGTTTGCTGGTGCATCCACCCACCGGGTGTAGAAAGCTCTTTTCCCTGGGTTGGGGGGGGGACAAGAATGGAGATGTGGAGGCTGCCCGAGCGCACGTTCCGGGAGAGACAAGGATGCTCTGGACCGGCGCGGCAGAGGTGTGACTGGACGGATGGGTCGACCCGGGAGCAGTTTTTAAGGAAGCGGGAGCTGGTGATGGGATGGATTTTGGGAATGAAGGGAAGGGTCGTGGGAGATTCCTGGGTGTGATTTGACGTAAACGATGGCGTGGACCATGCTGCTATTTCCTGAGCTTGGGGTCACGTGGGAAGGAAAGGTTGAGGGGCAGGCAGGTCAGGGAACCCAAGGGCCTTGCATGGACGTGAGACATTTGGGTGTGCCCGTCCAAGGGCAGGTGTCCCAGGGGGCGGCCGGAGTGCTGGACTGCAGATGTAGGGGCGGGAGTCGTGAGGATGCAGTCGGAACTGGAAGCGACGGGAGCGAGAGCCCTTGGGGAGGAGGCAGTGGGGGTGTAACACCCAGAGGTCCCGCCGAAGGTGTGCTGGTCAGCGAGCAGACAGAGGACCTGGCGGAGACGGCCCGGAGCCCAGGGCAGGGGCGTCCCCAGCAGCAGGGAGGGGCGAGCCCACCGCAGACTGGCTGCCGAGGGCCCGAAGGGGGTGATCAGTCCAGGCGGGTGGGCAGAGGCCTGCTCTGGGCGTGGAGATGGGCATCCAGCAAGGTAGCACTTTCACAGGGTGAAGGTCACGTGTCATGCCGCAGCCTGGGTTGCTTTGGAGAAGAGGTGGCTGACCTACAGAGAGGAGCAGAGGACCGGGGGTGGACACGGGGTCGGGTGCTCCGCTCTCCCTCGGCCTGTGTTTGAACTTGGTGGTTTGAAGAGCGAGGCTCTGAAGCCAAAAGAACTGTTTTCACTGCAAAGGCACTCAGGACGTGAGCGACATGTCATGGGGCGCAGGGCCAGCAGGGCACGGGTTTGGAGGCTGTGCCCCTAGTTCTGCCTACACTCTGCACCCCCACCCACGACCGCAAACGGCAAATGGGGTACTTTAAAAAGAAGTGGTATATGCGTATTATAAATATCACAAAGTATTTATGTATTAGAAACCTGTAAGTTCTATGAACAAATAGTCTATAAATTATATGTGACTTTGAACCTGATACCTTAGAGACTGCCTAGCACCAAAGGCCGGGGCAGTCGTGGCCCCAGGGCTGCCGGCGCACAGGATGCCCTGACTCGTTCAGTAGGGGTTACACTAGGGTCACTGTCCCCGTGGCACAGGCGAGGCCCTGAGGCTCGGGCCGCTCCCGCGTCCCCCACAGCACGGTGGCACTCAGCGGCACCGTCTGCCAGGCTGCCCCTCCCCCCGCTCTGCCCCCAGAGTGGGCTGGCGTTCCATGAACGCCTCGGCAGGCTGACAGCGCAGCTCAGTGAGATGTTAACCACCCCTGCAAAGTATTCAGACTTCAGAAAAATACCACGGATTCCACGGGCCTTCATGCTTGTCAGTCCCCACGTCAAATTGGAAGTAAGTCTATGTGCAAAGGGTTAGCCACGGGATGCTCACCCGCTTGTCGGGGTGACCCGAACCATGGAAACAAGCTAAGTGTTCAACAATAGAGATTAATCGGATTAATTGTAACATACGCATGCACTGAATATGATGCTACATCCACAGGCAAAATACGCCCTGCCTGGTGGGGCTCAGTGCGCCGGGCACCATCCCGCCGGTTCGATTCCCTGTCAGGGCACGTGCCTGGGTTGCAGGCCAGGTCCCTGGGTGGGGGGCGCTCGAGAGGCAAAGGATCGATGCTTCTCTCTCTGTCTCTCTTTCTCCCTCCCTTCCCTCTCTCTAAAAATAAATAAATAAAATATTTTCCTTTTAAAGGCAAACATGCAATCACATATCTGTCTAGGTGGAAAAAATGTTAGCATAGAGCTGTGTGACGAAAGCAGGTTACAGCTTATAGACTCCAAATCCAGTGTGAAGAGGAAATACACTCTTGCCTGACCCGCAAGCACACCTGCACATAATACCTGCACATAAAACCTCCAGGACGTACCCAGGCTGGCATAGCTCAGTGGATTGAGCGCGGGCTGCGAACCAAAGCATCGCAGGTTCCATTCCCAGTCAGGGCACATGCCTGGGTTGCAGGCCACGGCCCCCAGCAAGCGCACATTGATGTTTTTCTCTCTCTCTCTTTCTCCCTCCCTTCCCTCTCTAAAAATAAATAAATAAAATCTTTAAAAAACAAAACAAAACGCCCTCCGGGACGTTGTGGCCCGAGTGTTGCCCGCGGCCGTCTCTGCTGGAACGGGCACGTGCTGCAGGCGACTTGGATATTATTTTCCTGTGTGCTTTGGAGAGGGAGGGCCTCGATGCGGCGCACAGTGGAGTCTAGCTAATGGGGCAAAGGAGAGACCAGGGTCTGCACGCACACTAACGCTGGCTGGACGTTGCAGGTGATCGTGAAGACGAGGACGGAGTACCAGCCCGAACAGAAGAACAAAGGGAAGTTCCGGGTGCCGAAAATCGCCGAGTTTACGGTCAGTGTCTTGACGGTGCACCGGACGGGTAAAGGTAAGGCCGGCCTCAGCCGGCTCAGGCTCCCCGCGCCAGCGGGACAGGTCCCACTCGAGAGTGGCCGACGCCACGGGCTCCCTCTGGACGCCTGTCTTGGGACCACGCTGTCTGGGCCACTGAGTCTAATCAAACCCCAGAAGCTCGGCCGTTTGAGGGCCACCTGCGCTCTCTTCGGCTTTGGGACGTTTGGACCGTTTGATAATTGCTGAACGTGTCTCATGTCTCCTGGTCCCCGTCTCCTGTCCCCATCTCTCTGCCTTTTCTGTCACTGTCTCCAGGAAGTGGGATGAACGTGTGTAAAGGAATTCAGATTCTAGTCAGTGGGTGGTTGCAGCAACATGCAATAAGGACCAAGGGGATGGAGAGCTGACTCAGTGGGGAGACCGAACAGGTGCCACTCTGTTTCCGGGGGGTGGGGTCACTAGGGAAGCTGATGAGTAGGTGTCAGTGGGAGGAGCCGCGCGAGGGGGCCGGGAAGCGAGCTAGGCAGGCACGGAACCAGGGGCCTCTGGGGAGCTTCCTGGGGAGGTCACGTAGGACCTTGGGTGGCTGAGGGGAGCAGGGCTTGTGCAAAGGGCCTGAGGTTGGTGGGAATCTGGCCCCAGCACGGAATAGGAACAGGGCCAGCGAGGCTGGGCTGCAGGAGGGGTGTGGGGAGCGGGTGGAGACAGGGCAGGAGAAGTGGGCAGAGGGCCGACGGTCCCAGGCCTGGCAGGCTGCATGGGGGAGGGGGTGAGTTGCGTTTCGTGCTAGAAGCCTCTACAAGAGGCATGATTGCATTTGGGTTTCGACCAGAGCACTGGCTTTTACGTGGCTGGTGGCTATAGAGGGCAAGAGGGCATGCGGGGAGACCGGAGGCTACCGCAGTGCCCAAATACAAGCCAACAGTGGCTGCGATAAAGACGGCAAATGGGTAGAGAGATGGGGGCGGACCTAAAAGATACTTAGGAGGCGAAGCCGGCCATGGAGGCAGTGGAACAGGGGGTCCTGCGGATGGACGGTGGGGCAGGCTGGCTGGGTGTGAGCCGCTCCCACACCTACCAGCCGTGCGGCCACCAGGAGGGCAGTGGGCCTTGCCGTGTGTCACGTGGAGACTGTGCGAGCGCGGCCGTGAGTGTGACGGCGGAACAGAGCGCAGCTCTGGGCCCCGCGGGAGGAGCGCACGGCTGACAGTCACTGTGCTGTGGCAGCTGTGACCGGGGGCCTCGACAGTGGAAACGGCGCTTGGTTGCTTATCTGGGACTGGGCCCGTGTACGTGGGTAGACATCCTGGTCTGTTTCTGTCCCTGTCTCTCTCTGCGCTAAATCTGTGTCCCGGCAGCTGGGTGTGTGAGCCCGGGAGGGAATGTGGCGTCTCCCTAGGTAGGGTGGGGGACTTCCCTGGATGCTGACCCCGCTTTGAGGGCAGAGATGGCTCTCGTTTTTGGCTGTCGCTTCAGTGTCTGGCACCCGGCGTGGGCCCAGTAAACATGGACTTGGCCTGGACCGCCTGCAAGTGCACGCAGGAAGCAGCAGGTCGTTGTGTGGGAAGGGCCGGGGTGTCTTGGTGTGTCACACACGGGCACCAGGCAGCGACGGTCTTCAGAAATACGCCCAGATGCTTGTGAAAGAATGTTGATTACAGCCTTGGCTGGTGTGGCTCAGTGGATTGAGCACCGGCTTGCAAACCAAAGGGTTGCCGGTTTGATTCCCAGTCACAGCACGTGCCTGGGTTGTGGGCCAGGTCCCCAGCAGGGGGCGCACGAGAGGCAACCACACATTGATGTTTCTTTCTCCTTCCCTCCTTCTGTCTAAAAATAAAAAAATAAATAAAATCTTTTCAAAAAACAATGTGGGAAGTGGGGGTGGGTAGGGCAGAGGAGAATAATGGGGGGGTAGTGGGGGCAACTGTAATTGAACAACAATAAAAAAAGAAAAAAAGAAAGTTGATTACAGTGATATTGATAAAACCAAAGTATGGGAAACAATGCTAATTATCAACAACGCTCTTGCGATCCCCATAAATAGGACCACATCCAGAGGATGGACTATGGTAACAGTTCCCAAGAACCACTTTTTTCCCCCTGCCAGAGACTATTTAGTGTACTCTGAATTCTGGGCTTATGGGATACTTTCATCTTCTTTTTACTTTCCTGTGCTTTCCAAACTTCATATGAGCATGTACTGTTTCAATAACTAAAAAAAAAAAATTACAGTCACTTTTAAAATGTGCTCTTTTACCAAATAGAGTGTTACAAGTTTTTGATGAAATTGTTCCTTATTTTGCAGTCATTTAAATGATGGTCAGGAAGACAGGCAGTGGCCTGGGGAACTCTCTCCCAGAGAAGGCTGTGTGAGCAAAGCAGAGTTTACGACTGATTGTTTTCTAGGATTGGGACTACTAAAAAAAAAACAACCCCAACAAAACACAAGTAAACCGAGGGGACAGGACGTGGGAAGAAGGGCATCGAACTGCCGTCTGTGGCCGTGTCACCGCTGTGGTGTCGGAGCATGGTCTCGTTTGCTTGTTTTGTCTTGGGCAACTTCTGGGGATGTGGCTACTTTATCCCATACTGAGTGCCCATGAACCTCCGAGAAAGGGACATCATCCCATAATCCCCCACTTCTTAAAGGGCCACCACGGCTCAGAGCGGCGGCGTGACCTGCTGCCTAGCTGGCCAGTGGCAGAGCAAGCGCCCTGGAGTCACGCTCCTGCCTGCAGCGGGGACTGCGGGTTAGAGTGGACGTGAGTCCCCTGAGAGCAGAGCCACGACTGGACCGGGGTCCAGGGCCGGGGTCCAGGGCCCACAGAAGCTCCCACGCAGTTTGACTCGGTTAGGCCTGGGGTCAGGGGGGAAGAGCGTTGTTGGGTTTGGGGACAGCCCCTCGTTGGCACCATCAGGTGCGGGTGGAGGGCCCTGCCACTTGGAAGAAAGTGGGAGGAACGGAGCGAGTTCCTCTGCTTATGTAAAGCCGTGCACCTTCCCCAGCTCCTGCTCCCTTTCCCGAAGAGAGCTCCCTCCGCACCCTGCGGGGGCGGCACCTGCTGGGGCGAGGGGAGCGCCGGGCATGAAGGAGGGGGCCACGGTGACAGTTAGGAGTCTGAGGTCTCAGCTGTCAGCGGCAGCAGGGCTGTCATGGAGGTGGGACTTGCGGGACTTGGTCCTGCTCGGAAAAGAAGGCAGGGCTCGAGGGCTCCTTGGCCTGTGGCCTGGCCGACTGGGCGGGGAGATGCCACCCACTGCAGGGGAGGCTGGGGAGACGCACTGAGTGTGAGGTGCCCAATGTGTGGGGGATATTGGGGGCGGGGGGCGGTCTGACTGCCCTTGGATGTTGCTGGTCCGGAGCTCAGGATGGAGGCTGGGGCTGGAGATGCCGGGCTGGAAACCAGATATGCTGTTGGTCTCAGAGGGCACGGTGCTGGTAAACCTGGCTGGGCCACCCCTCACCCCCGCCCAGTGTATTGCTCACGGCAGAGGTAACCATGGGAACAGCAGAGATACAGCCATCCCTCATTCTAATACCTCTGCAGAGGTGGAAGGGCTTATGACTTCACATTCCAGAATTGACCCGGAGAGAGCGGCTCAGAGCAATTACGCTGCGAGAGAATGAGGGATGGGAGCAGGTCAGGGAGGGACGATTTGAGGGAGATTGGCTGGAAGAATTGCCTGGAATATTTGTCTTTTCTAAGACCAAAAAGGCTCTTACAAAGGGTCACAGACGTGAAATATTGTTCAGCAGTCTTATTTGAGGAGGGAGGGGCATGCAGAGAGAAGCCTGTCCTTTCTTACTCCTGGGAGCCTGGTTCTTCTAAAGCGGATTTTGCTGTGGGCGGTGCCGGTGCTGTGGGAGGGGCCGGTGCTGTGGGAGGGGCCGGTGCTGTGGGGCGGGGCCGGTGCTGTGGGAGGGGCCAGTGTTGTGGGAGGGGCCAGCGCGGTGGGCGGGGCCGGTGCTGTGGGAGGGGCCGGTGCTGTGGGTGGGGCCGGTGCTGTGGGAGGGGCTGATGCTGGTGTTCAGAGCTTGGAAGGCGCTGGTGGCCTGGAGCGTGCTGGTGCGTCTGGGCGTGCTCTCAGACCCGGTTGTCCCTGGGCTGGCGTGACGAGGAGCTGAGTGTCGCATGGGGAGGCCGCTTGTGTGAAGCTGATGAGAGGTGTTCCGGGAACTCCGGGGCTTGGGGGCGAGACTCCCCTGGGCAGCTCGGATGACGTCCTCTTAGCTTCATAATCTCGGGAAAGTGCCTCCACGTCCCCAAGCTCCTCACTCCTCATCCAAAAGCCAGGACTCAGTCTTGACATGAGTAGTCCCAGCCCTTGTCCCACTCTGGGTCTCGCTTACCGAGGGGCCGTTTCATTTCTTTCCCGTTCAGGTCACGTTTTACCTCCTGGGTTCTCAGCTTCCTGCCTGATTAGCCGAACTTTGTCTGTTGACTGAAACAGACCTGGGCGTCCCTTCCCCGGCCTGTGCCCTGGGGATGTGGCTGGGAAAACGTGGAGGGATCGCCCGAAGGGTGGCTAGTTCAATGTCAGCCCATGGCAGCCTCTGGCTCTCAACGGTGACCACTGGAGCCATTTCTCTGCCTCCCCGGGGAGCAGGCAATGTGTTTTGGCAGGCCATGTCTCAACGTATCTGCCATTAGCATGAATGATCCTACAGGTGTTTCATGTCCACCTTTCAGCCTCACGACAACCTTGTGAACTTGGTACTCTTACTACTGTCGCTGCCCCCAGTCACAGAGGGAGAAGCTGGCGCTCAGAGAGGTGAAGTGACCCCCGACGCCCCTGAGCCGGCACCTGTCAGAACAGAACAAGGATCCAGCTCTGTGCTCTGTGTCTCTGTTTCCCCCTCTCTCTGCCACACCTCGGTGCCACCGCGCCGTGTCCTCGCCAAGCGGTGGCCTCCTGCCTTCTCCCCGTCCTTCCCGTTTTGCTTCCCTTTCTCCCTCGTCTTCACTAAGGTTTGCTCCAGGCCGGGCCGGATGCCTGTT